CCTTGCGTTGGGATTTCTTGCAATTTGCCCAAGCGCCGCGCTCCCGACACCCAGGCACCCAGGAGTCGCGCCCGTTGTGGCCCCATGTGCATGCCCTTCGTGGCCCCGCTGTCGCCATTTGTGTCCCCCTCACTGTCCTACGTGGCCCAGTTGCTACCCTCAGTGGCCCCATAGTTGCCTCCTGTGGCCCCGCATTATCTGCACTTCGTGGCCCCCGCTCGTTCGCGCTCTTCGTGGCCCCATACGCATTCCCTTCGTGTCCCCGCTGTCGCCCTTCGTGGCCTACTTCGTGCCCTTCGTGGCCCTGCTGTCGTTCTCTCTCGCTCTCGCTTTCGCTCGTCGTCGCCGTCGTCGTCGTCGTCGTCTTCGACGTCGTCGTCGTCGTCGTCGTCGTCGTCGTCGTCGTCGTCGTGGTCGGTCCCCTGTCCGTCCCTCTTGGGGTCGGGTCGACGGTCCGCGGCCGCCCCGCCGATCAGCGCTGCCGCTGGCCAGGCCGACGGTCCGCGGCCGCCCCGCCGCTTGCCAGGGCCCGGCCTGCAGGGAAGAAAGGTATACCCCCCAAAAGGGGTTCGATCGAAGACGAAGAGGGCGGGTATCGAGGGTTTGGGAAATACGCGTTATTGGACACTCGAGCATATAAGCATATAAGGGCGAACCGTATTCAAAGTGTTGTTGTTGTTGTTGTTGTTGTTGTTGTTGTTGTTGTTGTTGTTGTTGTTGTTGTTGTTGTTGTTGTTGTTGAGTTTTCACTTATGGAGAATAATTATTCTTGATCCCCCCCACCGGTGCATAATGTGATTTCTCAATCAAAGTGTACCCTTCGACGCTCGCACCTTGTTTTTTTGACATGGAACGGCTTGATGCTCAAACTGGGCCCCTGGCCCGGGTTACAACAACAACGGCTCCCGCCTGAGACTTCCTTACAATTTAGCCAGGACCCCCCTTCCCGCCCGAGACTTCCTCGCATTTAATTCAGCAATCGCGCTGTCGCTTGGGACATGCTTGCAATTTCTTCAGGAATCGTTTTCCCGGCGCTCTGGAGTCGCGCTCTCGCTGGAGACTTGCTTGCAACTTACTGAAGAATGGCCGTGCGTTGGGATTTCTTGCAATTTGCCCAAGCGCCGCGCCCCCGACACCCAGGCACCCAGGAGTCGCGCCCGTTGTGGCCCCATGTGCATGCCCTTCGCGGCCCCGCTGTCGCCATTTGTGTCCCCCTCACTGTCCTACATGACCCAGTTGCTACCCTCAGTGGCCCCATAGTTGCCTTCTGTGGCCCCGCATTATCTGCAGTTCGTGGCCCCCGCTCGTTCGCGCTCTTTGTGGCCCCATACGCATTCCCTTCGTGTCCCCGCTGTCGCCCTTCGTGGCCTACTTCGTGCCCTTCGTGGCCCTGCTGTCGCTCTCTCTCGCTGTCGCTCGTCGTCGCCGTCGTCGTCGTCGCCGTCTTCGACGTCGACGTCGTCGTCGTCGTCGTCGTCGTGGTCGGTCCCCTGTCCGTCCCTCTTGGGGTCGGGTCGACGGTCCGCGGCCGCCCCGCCGATCAGCGCTGCCGCTGGCCAGGCCGACGGTCCGCGGCCGCCCCGCCGCTTGCCGGGGCCCGGCCTGCAGGGAAGAAAGGTATACCCCCCAAAAGGGGTTCGATCGAAGACGAAGAGGGCGGGTATCGAGGGTTTGGGAAATACGCGTTATTGGGCACTCGAGCATATAAGGGCGAACAGTATTTATCGTTGTCGTTGTCGTTGTTGTTGTTGTTGTTGTTGTTGTTGTTGTTGTTGTTGTTGTTGTTGTTGTTGTTGTTTATGTTTATGTTTATGTTTATGTTTATGTTTATGTTTATGTTTATGTTTATGTTTATGTCGTATTAGTCATCGTCGTAGGATCAATAGGCGCCATAGAACTGCTGGAAGGAACAGTGGTGAGAGCGCGCCTGTCGGCCAGCAGTGGAGGGCCACGATGAACCACCGGCTTCGAGGGTCAATTCTCCTTCACCGGGCGTTACAAGAGTTTCACAGCATCTTAGCCGACTAATTGATTTTCAGGAGATCGGTGAGCGCAGAGCGACCGCCGTCTTCGCGAACGCCCCCGCCGAAGGAGGAGGGGAGGGTGGAGATGAGGAACAGGCAGGGGCGGCCTGGCAGGGGAGGAGGGCGCGCGGAGGCAGGGAACGTTAGGTATGTCGTCGGCCGTCGTGGCCGTCGTGGCCGTCGTGAGGGGCGCGGTCACTGTGACGACGACAGCCTCGGTCGCGGTCGTGGCTCACTTCCTCCTCCTTCTTTTTGCCTCTCTTCTTTCTCATCCCCCTCCTTCCCCGTTATTTCCTCACGACGGAGAGGCGGAAGAGGGACGGTTGCCGAGGGACCTTGGGAGGCAGGAGTCAAGAGGAGTTTTAAAAAGGGGCAACGAAGTAGGGATATCTAAAAGATCCTTGGAGCAGGAGATGGAGGATCAATAATACCCAAAGGTTGCGATGGAACATGGAATGGCGTAGCGATGGCGAGCCTGATTCTTTCATGTGAAGTGAGCCTTGTCGTCAATATCCTCTTCCTCCTGTCCTCTTCCTCTTCCCTCCTTCGTTTCGTCTTCTACTACCAGTTTTCTTCCTCGTCTCATATTTGTTCACTCCCCCCAAGCACGCACTTTCTCTTTTTCCTTATCCAAGAGAACAACGCCCACGGCAAATATATAGTTTCTCAAGATGGCTACGAGGATTGGGTCACACCGCGTAGACGACGGAAGTGGCGCTGGGTATCAAAATTCGCCCACGAGAAGCACAAATGGGCCTGGAAGGTTGTGATGTGGCATCCACCTGGTTGCGATGTACGTGCCAGGAGGTTGCCACAACGACCACGCCTGCGATGGTTCGACGATATTTGCGCGACAGTGCGGCACTGTCATACAGAGGGGGACCGGGAGTCACTTGCCCAGAGTCACATTCACTGGATGAGCATGGAACCTGTATACGTCCAGGCATCCCACTGAGGCGCCCCGGCGCACCCGCCGTTTCCCTACACTGGACGCCTCCCCGGGCGACATTGGCGCCGCTCCGTTGCGCTCCGCTCCGTCTCCTCCTCTTCGTCCTTTCTGGTTCTTCTGCCGTCTCATCCCTCTGCCCCACCTCCCATCTCTTCTTCTTACTCCTCCTCCTCCTTTTCGCCTGTCTTTTCCTCCTGTCTCATGATCCACCTCTCGTCTGCTCCTCTGCTTCCTCCTCCTCCTCCCATTCCTCCTCTTCCAATAGCTGGAGGAGGAGGAGGACTCCCCAAACTCCCCCCTAACTTCCCAACGGGTTTTGAAGCCCCGAAAGCCTTGTAGCATTGGTTTCCAATTCTGGCAGCAGCTGCCTTCGCTTTCCGACCTTCTCGATCGACGCTCGAGGAGGAGGCTTTTCTTCTCCGCCCTCCCCCTCCTCAGGTCGTGTTGTCGGTGGCTGGCCTGGGCGTTATCGCCTCGGCGGTCGGGGAGACGGGCATCATCAATCTGGTCTTTTCCGCGCTGCTCGGGAGGCTGGTGCCGCGGCCTCGCTCACCAAAAGTGTTGAGACATCGATCGTGTTGTTGATTTGGGATTTGGGCTGCTCGCCCATGTGGGCTGCAACGTGTTTGGCAGGTCCCGAGGCTGCCCCAAGAGGGCCCGAATCTGGCCCCAGTCTTCTACAAGAGAGTCCCAAGGTGGCTCCATGCTCCTGCCCAAAAGAGCCCAAGAGCAGCCGAACAGCGGGATCAAAACGCTCGACCGACCTCATCACGGTCTTGGCATGGCCCCAGACACCAAGCGTCGGGAAAGTCATTCGACGCGGACCTCCCCATGTGGTCATCTCGTCCCTTGGCGCCCCGCTGCCAGCGTGGGAGTGGGAGAGCCCCAGCCTGTGGCGACTGGGCGCTCCCCGGCGGCTCCCCTCGGGAGCCCCCAAGTGCGATGCCTTGCTGCTCCCGGAACTGCAGGGAGAGGAGTCGAGGGTGCCCAAACCAACGTTTCGCTTGAGGCGTCCCCACGATCTGGCCGCAATCGGGCAACCGTAAAGCACCCCCTGGCGGCTCCTCCTTGGGGTGCCCACTTGCCACGTCTGCTACATCGCGGTGATCACGGGGCTCTGAAACCAGATGAGACTCCAAACCAGCGGTTCGCTCGAGACATCTTCAAACCATGTACAGTGAGCGCCGCCTTCGAGATATCCCCGCAATCTGGCCGTGCACGGGCAAGTGTCTTCCTCCCTGGCTGCTCCGCCTTGGAGTGTCCACATGCCACGCCTGCCACATCGCGGTGATAGCGGGGCTCTCAAAGCAAAGGGGACGCGATGCGCGCAAATTGATCGAGGCATCCGCACAATCTGTTCGCGAACGGGGAAGTGTCCCCCTCGCTGTGCCTGCCATATCAATGTCGCGGTGATCACGAAGCGCTCAAGCCAGAGGAATCGGGGACGTGCAAAGACGGCGCCTCGCTTGAGAGTCCCCACAATTTGGCCGCGAACTTCCCCTCCCTCCCGTGCGGCTCGTCAATAGGGCGCCCAAGTGCCACGCGGGTTACATCACGGTGATCACAGAGCTTTGAACAGTGACGAGCCGGAGGGTCAAACGGGCGCATCGCTCGAGACAGCCCCATACTCTTGCCGCGAACGGGCAAGTGTCTTCCTCCCTGGCGGCTCCTCCTTGGTGTGCCCACGGGCTATGCCTGCTTAGCCAGCTCTCAAAGAGATGAGTCGGAAGGGCAAAACGAGCGCCGCGCTGGAGCGATCTGCATACTCTGTGCGCGAACGGGCAAGTATCCCCGTCTCTGGCGGCTCCCTCTTGGATGCCCACGAGCTTGCCTGTTTTATCGCGGGGGCCACGAAGCTTTCAAAGCAAAACAAATCGGAGTGACAAAACGAGCGCGTCGCTCGAGAAATCTCCAGTCTCTGGCCTCCAACGGTCACGTGCCCCCCCTCCCTGGCGACTTCTCCTTGGGGTGCCCAAGTGCAATTGCTACACATCGCGGCGATCGTGAAGCTCTTAAAGAGAGTGTGTTTGTTTTTGGTTGAATTCGTAACGTCCCAGAGCGTTCTGGACTGGCATACATCGTTCTAGGGCGTTCCAGAGAGGTCGCAGAGCGTTTCCGAGCGCTCTTTTACGACCGCGGTTCCCGATATATACATCTTCCAGAAACGCCGTATCTTAGAGATCCAGGTCCGATTTTGTCTTGGTCATGGCTTCGTCTGCCCTATCGCAGGCTGGGTGCTCCTCCCTGGCTGCTCTGCGAAGGCATTGAGCAAGCCCGTTGTGTCTGAGCTGCCCTGCCGAAGCAGGCCCAAGAGCGTCTACGTGGCAATGCTGCGGCTGATGCTCCCCGCCGTGGTGCTGAACCTGGAGCGCCTACGCCCCGTTGGGGGGCGGGAGTGGCTCGCGCAGGGCTGCAGCGGAGGGGAACATAAGTTCTCAGAGCTACGAGCTGATTCCTTGGATCTGCGCTGGGCCCCCCTGGCGGGGCCTCTGGCTCGCCCCCTGGCGCGCTCCGCGCGCCCAGAAGGGGGCAGCGCCGGCCGATCCACGAAATCCGCATGGATCTCCGAGAAATCATGTTTCTGCCGTTACTTGGTTTCTCTATGTAATGGATGCTACGATTGTCTGTCACTGTCGTGAGCTATCTTGCTCGCGGCGGGCAAGGCAGTGCGCTCTTGCGCCCCACGAGAGCGATATGGGGTCATCTTGGGCTTCTCTTTGGCCGTTGTGGAACCCTCTTGGGCCGTCTTGAGGCCCTCTTGAGGCCCTCGTGGGCCGTCTCGAGGCCATCGTGGAGGCATCTTTGGCCGTGTGGAGTTGACGGAAGCCCGAAAATGTCAGAATGCGAATCCTTTAAGTTTGTCGTCTTCGGGCCCTGCTGGAGGTTCTCTTGGAGCCATCTTGGGTTATATTGAGAGCCTCTTCCGCCGTGGAGTTCTCTTGGGCGCCTTGGAGGCATCTTGGGCCATATCAGTGGCCTTGAAGACTTGCCTCCGAGGAGGGAGAAGGACAGAGGAATTCTGAAGGCGATTCCATGGCTTTCCTGAACTTCTTAGTCGAGTCTTGTGTTTTCCTGAGTTGTGTTGGTTTCCAGGGGCCGCTTCCAGAAAGTGGAAGAGAGGGGGGGAGTGCAAAAGGAAAAAGGAGGCAGGACAAGGGATGAGGGAGGAGAGGAGGCAGGAGGGCTGGGGAGGAGGGGGCGGGAGCGGGAAGGGAGAAGTGAGGGACGAAGTGGGAAGGACGGACGGCGAAGAGAGAGAAGTCAGAGGGCGGTTTGTTGGTGGAGCGGATCTCTAAGATCCCTCCCCCCCTCCTCCACTCCTCCCGCTCCGCTCCCCTCCCACTCCTCCCCCTCCGCCCCCCTCCCCTTCCTCGCCCTCCCCCCCCTCCTCCTCCTCCCCCCCCTCCTCCTCCTCCTCCTCCTCCTCCTCCTCCATCTCCTTCCTCGCCCTCCCCCCCTCCTCCTCCTCCACCCCCCCTCCTCCGCCTCCTCCTCCTCCTGCTCCTCCTGCTCCTCCTCCTCCTCCTCCTCCTCCTCCTCCTCCTCCTCCTCCTCCCCTTCCTCCTCCTGTGAGGAGGGCCGAAAAGACGGAGGGAGGGACACATGGAGAGGAGGAGCGTGAAGGGAGAAGGAATGAGGGGGAAGGAGGGAGGGGATTGGGGGAGCGGGGGTATGGGGAGGAACGGGAACGGACGAGCGGGGGAGGGAAACGCGGAGGGAGATGGGGAAGGGAAGAGGGGAAGCAGAGAGAGAGAAATAGAGAGAGAGAGAGCGAAAGAGAGAGAGGGGGGAGGAAGGATGAGGGCGGGGGTGACCTGCCGTCGCCGCCGCCGCGTACAGGGGATCTCGAACACCTGCGTCATGTCTTGCTTGCTTCCCGTGATCGACAGCTGGGCGAGCGAGACAGGCGGCGGCGTCGCGAGACGATGCGACGGACGTGCTTCCTCTGTTTGTGCTGTCCCCCACACACAAGAGTAAGGATGAGCGACTTTGTTTGTGCTTCTTTTGCTTGTGCCGTCCCCTACACACCATCCAGTCAACACTGATAGTAAGGATGAGCGACTTAACCAAGGAGACCCGCGCATCCTTGCCTCTTCGGTCATCTTCGGTTCATCATCAACCACTTTCGACGGCGCACCCCGCTCGACGAGCCTCGACATGGGGGTACAAGGGGCTTGCATCCTTTTCGCGTATCCGTACTGTCAGTTTGGGCAGGCTCGATTGTGCAGCAAACGACGTTCGCACACCTGTGTTTGGGATACCTGTCTGTTTGGGATGGCTCGCTCCTTTCAGGCGCTCTGGCTGAGCTTTCTGGTGACCACTCCGCCTCTTCGGACCGGCCTGGGTGGAAGTGTCTGCTGCCCTTCTTCCAGCATGCGCGCGCAGGGGCAGGAAGGGGAGGGAAGGGAAGGCACCCACTTCCCCCACGCGGACGTCGGCGTCCAGGGGCCGCGCTCGGGCCCCAGGGACCGTTAGAGCGCTGCCCGCGGAGAAGATCACGGTCGTGGATGGTGTCGAGGGGCGCGGGCGGGGCCCATGGGGCGGGGAAGGCGGAGGGAGGGGGGGACCTCCCATTCCTCGTCCATCGCCCTCCCTCCTCGTCGACGTCCTCCCACCCTCCCACTCCTCCCCGCAGACGTCCGCCGACACTGGCGCCGACCCGATCCGATCCTCCTCCCCGCCCCCCTCGGTCCCCGTCCTCCCCATCGTCCTCGCCGTCGTCGTGACGAGAGCTCGGGGGGCCCGCGTCGTGAACGCAGTCACGCCGTCGTATTTCCAGGACGCGCGGCGCACGCGCGCGCGCGCACCGCCGCTGCTGATCCTCTTCCGCATCCCTCTCTGCCTTCCGCTCCCTCCTCATCGTCGTCATCCTTCCTCCCCCTCCTCCTCGTCCTCTCACGCCTTCTGTTCCTCCTCGCCCCCTCCTTCGTGCTCCTTCTGCTGCGACTGCTCCTCGCACCTCCCCCTTCTGCTCTGCTGCACGCGCGGAGCCGGCTGCTCCTCGCCCCCCCCCTCTCCTCCGCCTCCCGCAGCATGAGGGCTCAAGCCAGGCTCGGCCTGACAGCGACCCGGCTGCTGCACGGCCCGGGGTCGGAGCTCCCACCACAGGGCGAGTGCCCGTTTCGACCCGTGGGCAAGTGCCCAAACCGTTTGTACTTCGGCAAGTCGCCGAAATTCCTCACATGAGCAGGGCCCGTCGTGCGGGCGCTGGCCGAGGGAAGCAGTCGCTCCAATTGTTCGCCCGCTCCGCGCGTTTCCGCCGTGAGGAGGCTGGGCGTGCTGATGATGGTGGTGGTGTGGTGATGGTGGTGACGGTGATGATGTTGATGATGGCGATGGCGATGTTGATGACGATCATGAGTATAAGGACTGCGTATACATTCATATCTCCATCTGTATACATATATATGGCTGCCTGGCAGGAGACCGTCCAGCGAGTCGACGATATTGGCGAGGGTGATGATGGTGGTAATGGTGGTGGTGATGACGACGGTGATGAGGAAGAGGACGAGAGAGTGAGAATCACGGGAAGAAGCAGATCTCACCAGCGGTTGCCTCCAAAGTCGTTGGGGTGGTGCCTCTGGCGCGCCAGGCGGATTTAAAACCGACATGTGTAAATTCTATCAGCAAGGCATGTGCCACAAGGGAATCAGGTGCGACGGGAGCAAAGACGACGACGGCGCCGTCCTTTTTGGAGGTTTCTGAGCGATCGTGGTGGCTTTCGTCGCCGCGGCTGCACGCGGCCTGGTAAAGTCTGACAGTGTGGTCCCCGAGCGCCTCGACTGCTTTGATGCGTGCCCCCCCTCCAAGGACTTCCCCACGGCCGGGTTTTCTCCCCGAGCCAGCATGTTGACAAACCGGCCGCCTCGATTTTCTTCGATGCGCCGGATGTCTGACTCTGGGAGAAGGACCGGTCCTGAGCGTTCTTGTGTGTGTGTTAGTTGTTGTTGCTCGGACGACGGCGGCGGCGGAAACAACGAGGCCACAGAGGCGGAGGGCACTGGGTGTCGGCGGTCTGGACCCGTGTCCCAGGGTTCTCGAGGGTCGATATTACCTGAGCGCCGCCCAAACAAAAATGGTCCTCTGCGCCGACACTGGCGCGTAAGCTGCCCGCGTAAGGGCGCGCGTGAGCGCCCTCGTTCCCCACGCGGGGTTGCCGCGCTGGCGCGTAAGGTTACGCTGTTTTCTCGTTCAAGGTATGTCTCTGTTCGTCTCTCATCTGTTTCTGGGCTGAGGCGGGCTCTTTCCATCCGGTCCAGCTCTATGTTCCCAACCATCTGTGGGGCTGGATCTTCGTCCCCCCTCCCTCCAGCTCACCCCTCCTCGTGGTGGTTCCCACCTCTCCTGTGGAGTTGGGTCCTCGCTCTCTCTCTCTCTCTATCTCTCTCTCTCTCTCTTTCCGCTGCTTCTCGCGCTGCCTTCCTTCTCTCTCCTCCTCCGTCTCCTCGGCCTCATCCTCCTCGTCTTTCTTGTCGCCTTTCTGCCCTTGCCAATTTCGGCGTATCCCTTGTGCGTTTCGCGCCCAATAGGCCACAGGGAGCTCCACATACGGCGCCAGTGCGGGCGCCCAAGTGGCGTCTCGGAGCCTATGTTGGCGCACGATTTGCGCGGATCGTGCCGAGCAGGGAGCTCCGCCTACGGCACAAGTACGTGCGGCCGCATCGCGATCGAGCGCCTACTTCGGCGCACCCTTTATTCGGGTTGACCCAAAAAGGGGTCCAGCGACAAGGGGGTGGTGTAATAGGTTTGGTGCAATAGATTTGTGGGGCTGCAATACATTCGGGGCGTGCAATATCTTCCGGGCGCACATGTATTGCTGGAAATGTGCGTGTAATGCACTACTTGCAACACGATGCAGTACAATTCTCCGGCGCAGTATGCATTTGCAATACAATTGCCCGAAATCTATTGCACCACCCCCTTTCAGCTGGGCTACCCACTTCTGCGGATCGTGCCCCTCGGGACGCTCCACCCACGACACCACAGCGGGCACCCGCATAGCGTCCCCGCGCCCAGTTCGGCGTGTCCCATCACGCGGATCATGCCTCACAGAGATCCCCTCCCATGGCACCTGTGCAGGCACCCGCATAGCGTTTCTGCGCCCATTTCGGCGGACCTCTCGCGTGGATCGTGCGCGACAGGGGGATCGGCGCGCCTCCGTGCACCTGCTCAGCATCCCTCGACCCGCATTGCCCGACCTTCATACTTCCCAAAGCGCGGAGTATATGAGGAGAGGATAACTCCCAATGGCAGCTGCATATGCTTGTTGGACTCTTTCCAGGCCGTCTTGTGTGTAGGGTCTTTGGGTCTTCTGAAGTGCACGGAGGGAGGAGTGCCAGGACTCTTTATATCCGGCGCCGTGAGACATGGCATGATTACGGCCACCAAGACCTTGTACGTCCGTCTTGGCAAGAAGAGATAACTTGGACTGTCTGAGTTTGAGGCCTCCGCGTGCCCGTGTCGTGACAAAGGATCTACAAACATCAGTTGTTGGCGGAACATCCATGCAAGAATTGGTGTCGAGAAGTCCAAAGCCTTCCGCCGAACAAATAGCATGATGGTTGTAGTTGCCCCGTTTTGAGCCTTAGTACCCGCAAGGATTGATCTGATGTGGAACATCTATCTAGTGGTGTCTAGCCCAGGTGTTTGGTTATCAGACCGACGTCTTCTTGGATGCCTCTTCTGGCTACCTTCTGGGCGTTTTTTTGCGGGCCTTCTGAGGCGTCCTGAAAGTCTTTCGGGGCCTCTGGGGATCTCGTGGAGGCCTTTTGGGAGTCTGGACCATCTTGTGGGGACGGCTCCTGGGGGCCTCTTCGGATTCCCCCTGTCGGGCTCCTCGTAGGGCGCTTTCGGGAGCCTCTTGGGCCGCTCCTGGTGGCTCGGGTTACCGTCATGGGGGGATCAGAGGAGCCTGGTGGGCCGCTGCTGACGCTGCTCGTGATGCCTCCCCATCGCCTCTAAGACGGCCCGAGGGACTTCCGAGGGCGCCCTGGATGGGCCCAAACGGATCGTCTGGACACGCGTTTGCAGTCTGGGGCATGGACGATCTGTCAGGGTGAATGGGGAAGGAAAAACAAAACGAAGGAGAAGGCAATAGAGAGACAGAAAGAGAGAGAGAGAGAGAGAGAGAGAAAGAAGACAGGAGGGCGCGCGCGCGACGACGACGAGAACGAGACGACGACGACGACGACGACGACGACGACGACGACGACGACGACGACGACGACGACGACGGCGGCGGCGACGACGGCCGCCACGCGCGCCGCGGCCCCGACCTGCGGGCAAATCGTGCGGTGACCTTCAGAGGCGCCCAAGAGCGCGGGATGCTATCACCGTCATCGTATAGTTGTTCTTTCTCCTACCCCTCCCAGGGTCCATCCTGGCCCCGAGGTCCAGACGTCTCGTCATAGCCCGACGCGCCAGCACGCTGGTCCCGGGCAGGCTGTGCTGTCCGGCGGAAGGGGGAAGGAGGGGAGAAGCAGGCCGACGACGAACGCGCCTGCGGGAGACTAGGGCCGGCGTGGCGGGCGGGCAGGCGGAAGGGGGGGCCGGGTGGAGACACCAGGCACGGACCAGGAGGAGGGGGGGGAGGCAAGGAAGAGAAGGAGAAGGGAATCAAGCGCAAGCAGACAGTCCAGGGCAGGGTCGGGGCGAGAATATCCACCCGCGACGAGGCTACAGACCCTACGGCGGCGACGCCGATCAGGCGGCGCAGGCGTAACGATGGAGTGGGCGTTGGGCGTCGGTGGGGGTTCGTCGCTGGTGGAGGGCCGGGGAGCAGAGGTGAATTGAATGTTGTTGTGTCTTCGGGCAGCATCCATATATAGTATACCACATCTGCCAGACTGGATCCCAACCTGTCAGTTTTCGCACTGATGACGTGCCTGCTATGTGGTGCAAAATAACATTTACCATATGTTGTTCATTCTATAGCGCGTCAGCTACGCATTGCTAGCCATGCGATTGAAGCGACGTTGGGCAAATTACCCTGTGCAAGGGATGTGGTGTAATCTTTTTGATGTGAGCGATGTGGTGCAAGGTGTGCGATCCAATTCGTGTGCAGCGTAAACTGCGCGATGAAGACAACGTGGTGCGTGCTATGTGGTGCGAGTTATGTGTCGCACGGGTGGGCGCCGAACGAAAACTCGGCACGCGCGCCCAACGCACGAGGAACCCACGAGGCGCGCACGGGCAACTCCAGGCGAAACCCCCGCGCGCCCAATCAGCGCGCGGAATGGCTTCGAGGCGCCCGAGGGCGGGCATCAGCCGAACCTTCGCCACGCCCACCCAGCGCACGAGGCGCTCAGTGGCGAGCGCGGGCGGGACCACGCACGCCCACCCAGCGCATGAGGCGCCCTTGGGCGGGCGCCCGGCGAAACTTCGGCACCCCCACCAATCCCACGATGTGTTCACAGGGTCCCCACGGGCGGGGACCAAGCGCACCCACCCAACACACCAGGCGCACACGAGCGCCCGCGGGCGGGCACCACACGAAATTTCGGCACGCCAAATTCTTTACGCTTCGC